ATGAGATGCTAAACAAATATTTTACGACAGCGGCACAAATAATTGAAGTTAATGTTTATTAATTTTGCGTCATCTCCAACTCATATAACGTCAGAATATGGCGGCAAGATTAAGTAAACGAATTTATTGATGCCAAATGAAAATTTACAGTAGAAAAGAATTATTCAAGTTGGTATTAAGCTAAATTATTCAGTAACATCAGTTATTGAAGAGGTTATTATTAGTACACAAACATGGGTAGTGTACCCATATTTATTCTATATCAATCATTCTATACAGTAGAAAGGAATAGTTATATCATGCTGTAAATTATTGATTTTGCGCCATTCTTTAATCTTTACAACGCCAAGAATTGGTTGCAGGATTGAATGAATAAATTCATTCATAGGAAATAATTTCTGTTGTAGAATGGAATACTACGTATAAGTTTCTATCTTGTTGATTTTTACGTCATTCCTGAACCCCTAAAACGTCAATTTTTTTTTGATATTAAACATGGAGGCATAGTTCTACAAAAAAGTAATATGACTTAAGTCTATATTTATAGACTGATATCATTATTAAACTTCTACCTGGTCGAAAATTTTGAAGTTGAACTGCTAAAGTATTCACAGTAATTTATAATTGTTATTCTATGCAAGTCTTTCCTTGATACAATTGATTTATTGAGTCTTAAGCTTGTTCTTCAACCAATTTCAGAGACAATTTAAATCCTTTATTTGACGTACCGGTAGCCGACTATGGCTGTAATATAGGTCTACGGTTTCTCGCTGATATAACCGAAACGCTTTTAATAAGTTATATCCGGGCTAGTCAATATTATTCGATTCTTTAATGTATCCTCCTTTTTATTTCAATGGATCAAAATGAAAGATGTTTTTTTCACTTAATTAAAGTGTTTTACGATATAATTTCAATCAACAAAACTTGTTCGATGATTTTTTGAATAATAAGACAATTTTTGATAAACATGTTTACCTATATGACATGATTAATTTACCAGAAAAGTGATAGTACTTTATTGTACATAAAATTGATTAACACCGGCTAATTTAAAAATTTCTAATGTAAACAATTTGCTAGATCATTCATATAGGAAAGAGAAATTACGGTACAGCAATTTCTTATTCTAAATCAGCTTAATATTCACTTTAAAATGATCATTATCCTGTCGGTGCATCTAATAATATTTCTTTAATTAGACAGGAGATATTTACGCCAGACTTATTTACAGTATTATATAAATCAAGTAATATTTTGTCCGTTTTCAACGGAAGATAACTATACATCTTGAGACAGAGAATACCTACCGATATCTATCCACTTGATATCAATATTAATAAATATATTGAAAAAGACATGATACAGTCAAATAAGACGGCTCATTTTATTTGAAAAGAATGCCAAATGTCGATATATAATTTAATTTGTAATAGCTGCATCTGTTAACTCGTAAAATGGCAGGCAAATATCCTCAATGAAATAGGCAAAATTGATACGGGTTAGACCGATTCGAATTCGTATTTCCATTGAAAACCTATCATAATTATTTACCATGTCTATCGCCTGTTGAGAATGTAGTATAAATTAAAATAGCAATAAAATAACTTCAATCTCAACGTAATACTAGAAATAATTTAGGTATGTTGGGAATTCATATGCTGTGATAGTGATATTGATATGAGAAATGGAAAAGCGGATTATTATAGAATAGAAAATTACTCTACTTGATTGATAGTAGTGCCATCCAAGGCTAGAACTGATCCTTTATCCTTATGCAATATATTATTCTTCAACTTATTTTAGGTTGTAGATATTTGTGCCATAAAAGTAAATTCGAATATTATTATTTAAAGATCGAAATTATCAGATGCATTTAGTATTCTAGGCTTGGATATAGGAATTGATTTCAGCTGCGATTAAAATTTCACCAAGGCAGTTATAGAATTCTTGAACATTCCACTGACAGTATCCTAGGCTTGGGTATAGGAATCTACTTCAGTTTCGATTAAAATTTCTCCAAGGCAGTTATAGAATTCTTGAACATTCCACTGACAGTATCCTGGGCTTGGTATAGCAATCAATTTCAGCTACGACAGAAATTTCACTAAGTCAGTTGTAGTACTCTTGGACATCCTACTAACAATATTCCAGGCTTGAGCATAGCAATCGATTTCAGCTATGATCGAAATTTTACCAAGACAGTTGTAAAACTCTTAGATATTCCACTAGCCCCATTTAGACTTAAGTATAGTAATCGATTTTAGCTAATCAATTTTAGCTATGATTGGGATTTAACCGAGGCAGTTGTAGGACTCTTTGACATTCCGTTCACTGTATTTGAACTACATGTTGTGCTCAGGGTTGGATCATCATCTGCAACAGGATGGATTGATCCAGAACGCCCTAGCAAAGGATTAACAGCGATATGGCGTATAGCAGCAGCGCGCACATTGTCCACATTTTTAAGTAGATTTTGTTCATCGAACTGCCTCATGGATAATCGCCGATGATGATATTCACTAACAAAGGATAGACTTCTTTCTAAGGCATATTCTCGAACATAACACGGTAAACATTTAGGGTGGCAATAAAGTGAAATTAATCGTCCTAAACCAATACGATAATTTTTACTATAGCGCGGATAGAGAATAGGATTGATTGCTGAATTTAAAATGGTCATTGTGGATATGATCGATAATGCTATAGGTGAAAATTTTTTATCATTACTTACTAAACGATAAATATTAATAATAATATAAGGGAGCCAACAGGCTAAAAATGGCCCTAATATAATAAAGATATTGGCTACAGCTTTTAGTTTACTTTTACTCCGTCGTATTTGCTGTCGTTGGCGAAACATGAGACTAAATCGTCGACCTTTTTCTTCTGGTGGTGGTTGATTGATAGTCATTAATGGCATATCGCCGACTTTCTTGACAGCAACCCGTAAGACAAGAATATAAAGTATGACAATAATAATTACTGGACAAATAAATGAAATACCAAAGAGGAAAAAAGTAAATGTTGTACCAACAAAAATATCAACAAAGCACATTGCTTCAGAGGGATGATAAGTATAGCGACTCCAACCTATTAAGGGTAAAATGGAGACAACAATCGATTGTAACCATGAATAAATTAGCATAGCTAATGTTCGATTATGTGTTATCCATTTATGATAGCGAAATGGTTTAACGATAGCCAGGTAACTATCCACACTCATCATGGCAATGGTAATAATTGATTCAGTAAATAAAGTACTATTAACGAAGCCAACCCATTGGCACATGCCATCACCTAGCGACCAGCGACTCGCTGTAGCTGTAGTAATGATAATGATAGGGGATAGAAATAGACCAGAGAGAAAGTTCGTTATAGCTAAATTGAGGATAAACCAACCCGTTGGACGGTGTAATAATTGGGTCGATTTAACCACTGCGATCGCTGTAATATTACCGATGAGTATGATCATAAGTAATAAGACATGGATTGTTAATTTAATGCCAATGTAACTTGATGTTTGTAAAATCCAATAGGGTGAAGATTGATTGATACCATACTCTCCACCCGTAGGGATTGGATCGCTAATGTTGATATTGGGAGATCGTAGATAAATTTGTTGCTGCATCGTATTGAAAGAGATTTTTTAAGAGCTCGTATCAATAAATAGTGATGATCAAATGCTTACACTTCGAATAAGTGACAAGCGAAGGACCCAATCAGTTCGTAAGGAAGCTTACCAATGGAAAACTTGTAAACAAGTCTGGGAAATATTGAAGTGTTTTGAAAATGCAATTTGAATAGTTAACCTGTAAACAAGCTTGTGACTTGACTTTTGAAGAAATAATTTAGGTTCGATCTAATGGACGGGCTTCTATCACGCTAAGAGACTTGCAATATTGCCAAGTTGGATACTAGCTTGCCAATAGAATACTAGTAATTCAATCGGTTGCGTGGAGTAAAGAAAGTTTGGAAATTTAAGACAATCCGATAAATTGACTTTTTTTAAGATTGATCAAGCCGATGATATATCGAATTGAGCCAATTGGAGGGGATTTTTTGCTGCCTTCCAGGTGCTATGAAAATCGTTGAGTTTATCAAAGATGATAAATCAAAATTTACAAGCAGACCCTAGGATAAACTGATGCGAATCTTCGATGATAGAGACTTTATCAATAAGGTGAAGGATTGCCTTAGGCCATGATCTTGATCAAATTATTTGATATATTGCATCGATTGATAGTTTAAACTGCCTGAGGGTATATAAGGGATAACTTTCTCTTTTCTTGCTCTTGTGCTTGAGTTGTGCTTTAAATATGACCTGCCGATAGAAAAGTGAGGATTAAATCGACGTTAGAGGGGCAAATAAATGGGTTGCAACTATCACCTTGAGCTTAGACAATCAACTATTTTATCCACTACAGTACATTCAAATGGTAATGGAAATACAATCAAGTTGGATTAATGGGTATGTTATATAAATACCAATGACGTACTGAGTCTTAAAAATAGGCTACAATTGCGTAAAGTTAATGATAAATGATTGAGGCGAAAGAATAAAAATTATAAATCCTTCTTCAACCAACAATTCTAGTAAAGACAATAAAATTGTCCTTATTAGAATAGAGGATAACAGGATGGCGGTAAATATTGAAGACAACGATCAAATTGAGTCCAAATTTTAGACAATAATAGTGGAAATGATCGATCTTTACTGTTCCTCTATTCTCACTGATCGTATTCAAAAAGTAATAATAGCTAGGATTTTCAATGAAATCAATATAAAATACTGATTTAAATATATTTAGATAAGGATTGAATGCAGGATAGATGATAATCTTCAATTCTCCACCTGGAACAAATTGATCTAAATTGCATGAGTGTAATGAAGTACCACCAATTCTACAAGAATACCCATTACAAATATGATTTTGTGTTAGAGTAGACAAAGATCATCCGAAAAAATAAATTCATTTCAACTCAATGCGAGGAAAATCAGTATTATTTAGAGTAGAATAGCTCATGAAAGAAATGAAATAGTTTAATAACAGTCTATTCCATGACTAAAAATTTATGGCTAAGCATAACATGCCTATTGTAGTATTTAGTAATTGGTTATGGCTAATACGTGGGAAAGATTATTGATTCATCTTTGAAATGATGAATAATGTCGTCGCTAGTCAAAAGGGATGGTTGGGGGATAAAATTGTTGGATGACATGTAGAAACTTGTCTTAATTGGCTGGCGTAGGGTACCGTTACATTCTTACAATAAAAGAATGAAAGATAAATTACTAAAGAGAAAATATGACTATTAATTCTCCTATAGCTGGGGAGGATTCCTAGAGAATCAATTAGATATCTATTCATTTCAATTGGCAATTTAGAATAGAGGAAATGGGATGATCGTTCGTAGATCACTTAGATGCCTAATTTGCAGTTGAGAAATGAATGATAGCCATTAAGTTTATTCAGTAGGTCGTTTAGAAGGTAGGAATAAGTCAATTTTGTTCGATTAATTAGCTGGATTAACTATTATAGTTTGCAAATCGCTATTGGGTAAATAGGAAACGTTATGGCGATTGATTGAATAAGTCATCATGATTGGATTAGCCGGTTGGGTCATTTGCTATTGAAGAACAGATGATAAAGACTTGGAGAAAGTCAAGTGAAACAAAATGTTTTATAATTAGATGGAAGGTTTAGAAATAAAATCGATATTTTTATTCTCAACATGGATAGTCTACTTTAATTGGCCGACTAGCGGATTATTTGAATAGGTCAGAAAATTGACGATGACTCAGAGTAGGAAGGATTGCTTCTAATTGAACAGGATATAGGTAGGATAGAATAGACTAATTCTTCTTAATCACTGATTGAATTTAGAATCTTACATTAATTAACTCGTAGAGTAATCAGATAATTGAAATAGTTGGAATAATGACCTAGAGCAAGTCTGATTATAGCTGATTTTAAAACATAGTTGTGAAAAAAGATTGATTCGCTTTTCTACTATGATGGCCATAGCCATTTCATGTTGCTGCAGTTCCATATAAAAAAAATTAGCCAAGTGCTATCGCTCGTTGAAATGAAGAGAACCATTGTGGATAAATTACAACAAATTTATAACCTGGTATTTGCAAAGAAGATTTTAACAAATTAAATACTAGTAGCTATTCTGTGATCATAGAATCTTGCTTTCAAGCTATCCTATTATTACGATAGACGCATTCTTTTAAATGCTTATTAATCCCTTATTTCACCCAAGAATGCTTTGAAAATTGTCTAAATACTCATCGATATGGCCAATTCTATCCAAATCGATTCTATGCAATTGTAGTTTAAGGTTAAAATTATGAACATAGTAACCAATCGAGGGTATTCTCCTAGAAAGATGACTCATTGCTCATGAAAAGATGGATTGACAGTTATTGAAAAGATTCTCATTTTTGACGCTATTGACTATGGCATTGGCTTAAAATGATACAGCTGGAGAAACATACTTTCACTAACTCTAGGGCCATTTTAATTACTGTTCTAAATTGAAATTAGCTCATTTATTCATGTAGAATTTGTTTTTGATTATCTTTGACAATATAGACTATTTTGAATTGGGGCTATTCCCTTTATAAGTTAAATAAGTAATCCTAATATTGTTTTATTCATTCTTAAATGAAGATTCTGATGACTATTCTTTTCTATGATGGTATTCTTAGTAAATATCGGCATGAGTTTTTACATTAAAAGAGAAATCGGGATGAAGAAATTCGGTTGAGGACAGGAGGAGAAAAGTTTTGATTGAAAGATCCCTGATAGTAGATAATCTATCCGTCTAGAAAATTGTGGTTAGGAATAATTTTTTCGTAAGCGAGTAATTGCATTCGATATGATCAGCAGCCAAATTTATATAGCTATTGCAAGTATGGAGAATAGCAAATGATCATTCAATACCAGATATAATGACTCAATAGTCATAAAATTAATCATAAAAAATAATTCATCTGGTCAAAATGGATAGATTAGTCCATCAAAGAATGCAAAAGGATATCCACTTATGATACTTTACAAGCGTTTAGCTTGTTCTCTGACTTAGCTAATGTAGTAAACAACAGCATTAGTGTTATCAATTCATTAATAGTCTTTGATTAAGAATCATTTGAAAATTAAATGTCATGACAAGAACCTACAAGGTGAAAATATGTCAATTAATTTTTCATTGGTGAATGTTCTCTTAGTGATTATCAAGACAAAATTGGAAGTAATTGGATTGATCTGTTTAACAAGACATTCTCAGTCACTGCATGTTGGTTTACAGATGAAAGCAATTTAAATTGTCTTGTATCACAAGAAAATCTTTCTTGGTTGGGGATTGATGATGAATTAAGAAAACAATTTCTTTCATGTCCTCAATCGTCATGTTAAAGTTGGAAGTAATTTTAATAGGCCTATTGAGTAAGGAATTTTCTGTCGTTGCATCTCGATGGAAAGCTGGAAACAATTTGAATTGTTTTAGCTCACAAGAAAGCCAGTTAAGGCTGCTAGTGAATGATTAGACAAAATTTTCACTCTTTTCTTCAATAGCTATCATAAATTTGGGAGCAATTTTAATAGGCCTATTGAGCAAGATATTTCCTGTCACTATCTATTGACTTAGAGCTGACAATAATTTCAATTGCTTTGCTTTGCTTTACGAGACAGTCTGTTGTAGCTCTTAGTGAATGATTTAAGAAAAAAATTCTCTCCCTTAATACCCATCGTAAAGTGGAGATTAATTTTAGTAGACCAATTTAGCCAAATAATTCTCTTCTCTGTCCATTGACTTATATCTGACAACAGTTTTAATTGCTTTGCGTTACAAGAAGGACTGTTATAGCTGTTAATGGATGATTAAAGAAAAAATTTTTCTCTTTCCTTCAATAGCTATTATGAAATGAAGAATATTTTTAATAGGCTCATTATTTAACAAGACATTTCCTGTCGCTCTATGTTGATATAGATCTAGAAACAATTTGAATTGTCTAGCCTTACAAGAATGTTATTCATACTGCTGGTTCAAGGTGAAAGAAAAATGTTTTTCTAAATAAAGTGAAAAATAAATTTGAATTGGCCTGTTTAGCTAGACATTTTGATTGTCTCTGCCAGTGAGCAGACTAAAAATATTCTTCTTTTAGCCTCTATAGGAAGAAGTTTTAGGACCACAGTAGTGTAAAAATAGACGCACATCCTATGCTATGATGTTAGTGATACCAACAATTTTCAAAGTGTATTCAATATGACTGAAAATATCCTCATCAATGGCTAAATTAAATAGATGGATAAGCAGAAAATGATTCGTAAGCCTCAATACAAAGAAACCTATGACTAGTGTAAAAATGGATGCCCATCCTAGATCACTACGTTAGCGATGCTAAAAATTGTTTTAAGTATATTCTGTAAGATTAAAAATATCTTCATTAATTGTTATTGAGAAAGTCCATGGGCTATGGTAATAGTTTCAACA